TTAAAGTATCGACCATCTGCAGCTTCGAGCATTTTAAATGTTGATCATTTATTTTTAGTATGTCTACTTAATAAATTTCGATCATTTGCGGAATGTCGACTTTTTAGAATTTGGGAAAAAAATCACGCACCTCCTAGAAAAGTTAAAAATCTCGAGACAATAATCTGTAGGAGCATTACTTGTGTTTGTATATATGAGGTAGATATATACTATATTTTCATGCGAAGCAACAGGTTGCTCATGTTGGCTTCTCTTCCGCATGGGTTAATCTCCTGAGCTGAGTCACCATTGCGTTCCTCTGATGCTTCTTACAAGCTCAATGCCTCTCAATGGGAGAAAATAGCGAGAAATTAGTTGCCACCTAACTTCCACTATTCAATTAAAATAATTTTCCCTTCCATGACAAGTACATAAAAAACTTATTGGACAATCTATTAGACAACAAGAATCAAGTTTTGGAATCATTAACAGATATATCAATGAAAAAAGATGCGTATACCGGATTGAGAATGAAAGGACGATAGAGAGTCAGATGTGAATGAGACTTCGACCCTGGAAAGGTTAGCAAGTGTGTTTTGCAATCAGTGTTGTTTCTCTCTGAATACTATAGATATCGATTGATTGTTCGTTGGTTCGTTATTCCCAAGGCATCAAGGTGCGCCAAACCGAGGAAACGAGTTATAGAGCTAAAATAAATCAATAAACTAGCAAAACAACTGTATCCTACAAACTAATATAGTAGCTAGACTAGAGCATATATATACATAAAAGTGCATGTATGCTCGCAATGTACGTACGTACGTAAGAAGGTACAGTTGAGGCGTACGAAGCGAGGTCGAGCCACGCGGCAACACGCGGCAGCTGTCTGGCGCCAGGGCCCCCCTGTTCCCTCAAACAGTCGCGCCGCCGACTGCCACCCACCTTTACCATTTACCAACCTATCGTGCCATTCTGCCTACCAGCCTGTTCGTCTGATTTCCCTCTCTCGTTCTCTTTTTAACATGCTTCCTCTTTCATCTGACAAACACCTTTTTCCTTCCTATTTTCTCCCACAATTTCTTTCACCGCTATACAAAAACTCAACATTACAATAAGTACCGAAAAGAACAATTCCAAAGTGGTATAAAAAAGTGAGTTAAATTTTAACTCCCAATCCCACTTTTTTCGAGTTGAAGTAAAGGGAGTTAATAGTTACTTTTAAAGATAATTTTTAAAAAATTTCACTCCCAACTCCAGTCACCATATTAACTCTCAAAAAAATTTTTATTCAAAGATTAAAACAGAAAAAACAACCAAGGAATTTTTTAAAAAGAATGAGGATTTTTTGCTATATGTAAAAAGGAACTTCGGGAATAGAAAAAAGAACCAAAAATTAAACGTTCTTCTGGATGCTAGAGAGTAAGGTTTTAAAATACGTAGAATCGCTGGAAAACTTCTACCTGCGTTTGGCGAAAAAGGCACTGAGACGGTGTGAAATTTTGAAAATGTGCTCCCAAATTTAAGCATCTCTTTTCTTGTTAAAGGATGAAAAAAACAATATGTCTGTGTATGCAACAAAGCAAAAAAAAAAACTGGATACCCAAAAAATCATCATTAACTCATGTTTGAAACTGAAAATTCTATTTATTGTACCTAAATTTTCCCCATTAATAAACAACAAGGTTAATAAAACGAAATTTATTTTATTAAATTTTTTGAACGAAGAAAGAATTTCATTAAGCCAAATAAAGTTTTGGTTGATTCATTAAAAATTTGATTGTTTCAAATAAATTTTTTTCTGAGTAACATAACGAATACAATAGAATTCTTAGGAAATGTATTCGTTGTTATGCATCAGTGTTATGTTAACATAAAGAGCCTATTGTAGCAAAAAAAAATAAAAAAAGAAATGTTTGTGAGGTACTGGCATTAAAGTAACGTCAATCTGATATATTTAACCATCAACATAACCTCATTTTCATTATTTAATTTTTTATTTTTAAAATTTCTATATCTTGTATTTTTCTGACCTTTAAATTAAATAATGGAATGTATATCAATGAGAATAAACATTGGTGTGTGACCTAATCCAATAGCGACGAAAATATTCCATAAAAACATAAAATACAAAGGTATTCCAATACACAAAAATACCTATCATATTATTAAAATTGAAAAAATATATTCAAAACAATAACAGTGAGAAACTGTATTTGTCAATTTTGTGTTTACAAACTTCTAAATAATCTTATCAGCTTTTAAACAATATATCTTTTTTTCATTTATTTTCTCTTTATTGTATGTTTTGTATTTCTATGCTTTGCTTTATGCGATAAAAACTGAAAAAAAATTATTTACAAATCTTATTTTAAAAATGAGAATAAGTAAATAATGCATTATATTATAGGTTAGGTTATAATACACAACAAACTTTTTATCTCCAATTAAATATATACTTAACTGGTAAAAGATTGAGTCAATTGTATTTCTAACTTATAATTTTAATTTTCACACCATGGTGCAAAAAGGAAATTTGAAAAAAAAGAAACAGTAAATTAATAATAAACATTAATAAATAAATAAAAATTTCTATTTTGTATTCAGAAAATTTAACCACAAAGTAAACTTAAAAAATATGTATAAAGAAAGATTATGTACAAAATTAAAAAATAGTGTCACGTACTTTATAGAAAATAAGATCCAAGTTTTGAGCTTGAAATAAAATAAAAAAAACATTTTAAAAAACACATTTTGGGATATTTTTTAGGTTATGTCAAAAGCGTAACGTGATGGGATTAAATAGATTTCAGATTTGGTTTCAGTGACCTCAAAAACATAAAGTAGACAGATCAGTATTTTTTTTATTTGAAAATTTTGGGGTCAAATTTTGGTACTTTTAAGTTTGTTTCAAAATACTGACGTTGTAAGGTTAAATAGACCTCAAATTTGGCTTCAGCGATCATAAAAACATTAAGTAGACACGATGAGACTTCAAATTTTACTTGATTTTAAAATTTTGAAGGCGAATTTTAAGGTTTTTTGAGGTTATGTCAAATACCTAACGTGATAGGGATAAACTGACTTCATATTCGGTTTCAGAGACCCCAAAAACATAAAGATTTTGCACGATTTTTTTTGCAAAATCTTAATTCCAATCGATTTTATTTTCTACTCGAATTGAGTAAAATCAAAAGAATACTACTGTGGCTTGCTCTCTCTCTCTCTCTCTCTCTCTCTCTCTCTCTCTCTCTCTCTCTCTCTCGACTTGCGAAACGGAGGAAAATTCAGGCATTATAATCGAATTTACTTTTTTAATTCTATTTTACTTCACACTAATCCTATAATCTGACTTTTGTGTCTAAAGTAGTCTCGCCATTTTTTTTCATGTATATAGTAATAAAAATATTATAATATGCAATTTAAAACGAAATGTCTTATATACATATATATATGTTGATAAGAAGTGATAAACCATATATATATGTAGACAGCGCAGCAAAGCACCGTTTATCCATGTGCTTTAATGCTGCCTCGATTATTTTCAAAGAATTGCGAGCTTCTTTGCCTTCTATTCGCGCGCGCACCGCACACACACTCGTCCACCGACCTAAGGAATTTGTATCACGTCACAAGAGCACTGGCCTTTGCATTAGCACAAACTGATATTCTTCATGGATTCATATAAGAATTTATCATTTTTCCAATCAGAACTAAAAAAAAGCTCTAATTCTTTTCTTTTTTATAATATGGCAAGATGATAATCCAAAAATAAAATATATCATTAATTTACTAATGGAAAGAGGAGGTATCCAGGTGGAGGTATATATATTTGCAACAGAATGAGAAAGTAAGAATTACGGCGATGCTAAAAATTTCAGACGTCCTTTTAGCTGAGCCAAAAATGTTTCGCGTGAGTTTCCACGAATTTCTCGGCAGTGTGGAAAATAAGAAGTAAAGTCCGCAATTCGTGCTATAGACCGATGCATCACGTGTGTGTGTGTGTGTGTGTGAGTGTAAAAGTCAAGCAACGAAGGAACGCGTTTGCGAGTAGCATTCGTTATTAGCAAACCGCACCTCGCTATTTTCAATCCTTGACGGAGCGTGACTTTAATTTCTCGTTCATTTTCCTCGATTCGAAGTATGCACTAGCGCAGATGGAACATCCAAGTTCTCACTCTCGATTTACACATCGAAGGGAAACATTTTTCTTTTCTTTTTTTAGTAACAAAAAAAAAAAAATTGGCATTCTGAGAAATTCCCTAGAACGATTTAACACGAGAAATAGAGAACTATAGAGAGATGTAAAATTTGACGAAAGAAGAGAAGAAATCGCTCCTAGGGATCACTATAGAGAGAGATGTTCAAGGTTAACCATGTTATAGGCGTAGCCGCGAAACAGGGACGAACTTACACGATAATATCCCGTACCCATTTTTATTAATTTCTTTTCGAATTAAAAAAAAAAAATTATTTGAATATTTTACTTTCTTTTAAAAAAATTGTAGAAAAATTTTACAGTGTCGTTCCAATATAAAAAATATAATCTCTGATAATTTTAATGAACTTCAGTTGATTTTTGATTTATTTAGTCTTTAGATTGATAATATATATGACGCTCCACGAGAGAAGGTATTTTACATCAAAAAAATTTAAGTTATGTTTACTGATAGTTTTACCTTGATAAAAAGTTTTCTTTTAATTGAGTAAAATCAAATTTAGTTTTTTATTGAATTTGTTTAATGTAATGGAGACTTAAACATAAATTTTTTGTATTAAGAGTTGATTCTCTCTGAGTATTTTAATTTCAAATCACAAACATAACCTAAAATTTTTTTTGACATAAGGTCCCTTCTCTCGTCGATAATCAGATTTATTTTTTAAAAAATTTGTCATTTTCCAATAATTAAAAAAGAAGTTTATGAAAAATGAAATAACATCGAATATTTTACATAAGCATTAGAAAAATAGCTTGATATATGCAAATTAATTAGAAAAAGCGAATAATATTTTTAGATAATTACCTTCTCCATTGGTGGTGAGGGAACCGGGAAGAGGTATTGGTGTGGTGCTTCTGCATCTAAGAGAATCCCCTTCACTTGGTGCTCGGTCTGAAAATAAACACCACCCTTTAGAAACTTCCCTTTCTATTAACTTTACTGCTTTCTCTTGCTCAACTCAATCTCATGATCTGATCTTGAATAAATTTTTAATTTTACTTTAAAATTAATATAGAATTTATTTTATTGAATTATATATTATACACTGAGAAAAATGTTTAGTCAGAGCAACCAAAATTTGGTTGGCCCAACAAAAAAATTTGTTGGTATTTAAGCAACCAAACTATTTGTTTAAGTCAACCAAAAAATGTTTTTTCTTTCGGTTTGTCGTCTTCTATAAAAAGTATATAAAATACTTGAATTTAACCTTCTGAAAAGAAAGATTCATTCAATATTAACTTGGTTTAAAAGTGAAAAGAATTCTATAAAGTTTTTAAAATATAAAACTTTATAAAAGTAACTTATTTTTATATATATTTAAAAAAAGGGTCAAGTAAATGAGTACACATCTAAAAAGTTAACCATAACTTCTTTATTCATACTTATATGGACAATAATAAATCCTAATAGACAATAAGATTATAATGATCTTATCTAAAATCGCATTAAATTCTGAGAATGTCTATTTGTATATATACGCACATATATCAGAAGAAAAAAAGTGTCTTTATAAAAGAAATATCATTTCAATGGCACGAAATTCATTAACTTGTGAAAATTGTCTTATCTACTTCAAATATTCCTTATCCGAGAAAATTTAAGTACCTTAACGAAAAAAAAAAGAAAAGAAAAAATATAGTCTCTTTTGGTGGTATTGAGAGATAAACATCATTTAGTTCCAAGAAGGTCTCGAGAGAAAATTCAAAGAAAAGATTGAACTCATCAGCATACTTTTTTGAGACAAAGAAATAGATAGAATGTTATTGACTCCTAGATATGTAAATATATATATTCCATGAGTTATGTTATATTGATCTTAAGGTATAATAATTTCTCTCTAATATCTATATATGTAAAGTTGTGTAAAATATAGCAAAACTATCGATAGACTAATCGATTTCTTTTTTTTTAAGACCATATAATGCCTGATTCATTCACTAAAAGAGTGGATGATGTTATATAGAGAGAAAGGTTTTGGATAAGAAGTGAGGAGCGAGCGAGGTGATCGCATTCCTTTGAAAATACCATAGAGAACCAATCCTGAAGGAGTGAATAGCGTTTCCTGTTGTGTTGGCGCAAAGATGGTCTTACAAAACTGCGCGAGTCAAGAAAGTGCTTCGTCTCTATGACGAAGCTGGAGAAGGAGTTATTTAAGTTATTTTTGTACATATCTGCCGACAACTGCAGAGACATGATTCTTTCACATTTTATTTTCTTTCTTTTTTGAGAGTGAGAATTCAGAGAGCGACTATAGAATATATATTCGATTTCTCTTTTCGAGTATTACGAATTTATTTCTCTATTGCATTTATAATAATCTCTAATTTCCATTGTTCGATGTTATAACTTGAAGTTATAATATTATAAATAATTCCCTGCTACAAAAAAATAATATATTTACTTTTTTAAAATAAACATTTACATTTTTTAATCTTTCTAAAATAAATAAATTTTTTTCTTTCTTCTTTTTAGATCTTATAATCTAATCTACAGCAACTATTTAATGAGAATGAAAATACAAAAGTATTGTTTACTAAAGAAAAACCTTTTTTTGAAGGATATTTTTGACTCTTCAGGGGGTTCTTATTTTATTTTAAATTTTGTCTGAATACTTTATATTTGAATTGACAATTAACAATTTTTGGAATAGTTAATCAAATATATAGACTTTTACTATTTTTTAATGGGCATTAAAAAAAAGTAAGCGGAAGAGAAGGAATTAATGCCTCTGTGTCGGTCTTCTTATTTTATATATATACATATATTTTGCTTTCGTTCTATCGCATATCGAGTGACAAGGAGAGATGGAGTTGAAGAAGTTTCATCACAAGAACTCGACATAAATGTTTATTAAAAATCTTTCGCTGATAGCAGAAAAACGAGACTCCAAGTATGTTACTAGGAAATCCTGCCTTAAATATTTATTAGCTATATATACAATAAAAGTATTTCCTTTTACAGAAAACCAGTAGTGTCATATATGAAGAAGACTAAAGAAAAACCCTATATTTTTATATGTATTATTCCCATGAAACAAAGTATTTATACTTTTGTAATTAAATAGTACAAAAGAAAAATTGCAATTTACAAGTGTTGTTTGCAGAAAAAAATTGAAATCTTGAATGAAAATTTAGTTAAATTTATAAAAACTTTGATGATTAATGGAATTTGGATAAAACAAGATTTATACTTGTTGTTTTTGCATACAAACCCAAAAAATTGATCGGATTCGTTTGAAACTTATTATTCGAATGTTTTCATGATCGCTAATTGCGAATCTATCATCGCTAATTGTGAATATGACGTGTAATTAAGATCTTTCAAAAAGGTCGTTACAGCAGCTGAAAGTATTGTTCTTACTTTAAAATGCATTTTGAAACTTTAAAAAATCTTTATTTGCCTCTGAGTTATCGTCATTTGAATTTTTTGAAGCATTATCTGATACACGAATATTGAAACATTCACCAAACTCAAAAAATTTAAATAACGATAACTCAGAGCCAAAGATTTTTTAAAGTTTCAAAATGCATTTTTAACGGTAAAAATAGTACTTTCTGATGCTGTAACGACCTTTTGAAAAAAAATTATATCTTAATGTTATACCTCAAATTAGGTCAAAAAACGTCTTTTCTGCACATTTAGGTTAGAATATCTCAAAAACCTGACTGAATGAAATTTTCTGAAATTCCCTGACTTTTCCCTGACCAACAAAATTCCCTGACCATTAGACACCCTGATTTATTACTTGGTATTTTTCGGCGCTACTGATCACAAAATATTTAAAACCAGATTAGTAATTAGAACTCCAAAAACCCCAAACAATAAATTTTAAGCGAATTCTATCAATTATGCAAAATTCTTCAACCACATTGTATCCGCCATTTTGAATTTCTGAAATTTGATGCCAAATTCATAAACAGCGACCCTCTTTAGCTTCCTCAACCAGTCACAAATTTTTCTTTCTTCCACGTTCGGATCCAAAGAAGAGTCTACGGGAGTCTACAAGATCAAAAAGAGAGTCTATTTAGGTTCTAAGGGTAGCTAAAGAGGATTCAAATTTTGCCTCGGGTTTTCATTAGATTCAAAAATATTCAATAAAAATTATCATAACCTATTATTTTTTTGCAAGGTTTTTTTCACCGAGAAGCGTTACATTTGCACAAAATCAAAAATTTGATGATGCTATTTATAGAGTTATAAATTTTTGATTCTGTGCAAAAATAAATGTGACGCTCCTCGGTGAATGGAACCTTACAAACAAATATTTAGGTATGTTAATTTTTATTGAATATTTTGGATCTAATGAAAACTTAAACATATTATAAAGCTTGTAAGTTCTATAATATTTTACCAGATTGTCACTCTTCATTGAAAGAAAAAATTTTAATAAAAAAAGTGATTTAAAAAAAAACAAAAAAACACGATTCAATTTCAATCAAGTGGATTTTCTGACAATCTGAGGAACATTGAATTTTATTTTCTTCTGATCTACTTTTTTTTAATCATCGTCATATGTATATCTTTAATAGTTGAAGATTGCGTCAGTAACTATCGAGGATTTTCCTAATTTGGAACTCGTAGGATTTTTCGTTTGGACAGGAGCTCGATTATATATAGTATATAGATGAAGGAGGTTCGGAATGCGAAAGCCACTCCCGCCGCCGCAGAATATCGTGGACTCGCGAAGAGAGCAAAAGGGAATATGAGTGTGTGTCAGCCGCAGCGACAAGAGGAGAGAAGAGAAAAGAAGATAGCTTCTTCTCCCTCACTCACGCTGGAGCAAAGAGGAAAGAATGCGTATATATGCTCATAAGACTTGAAGAGGTTTGGTCAGGTGGGGGAGGAGTGGTAGAGAGCCAAAGAGAGTTTCAGGGAGAGAAAAAGAGGGAATGGAAAAAGAAAAAGAGAGAGAGGGTCGTATACCAAGGACGGCAAGCCGGGTAAGCAATTAAGCATAAAGGAGTTAAGCGACCACGGGCGACAGGCGCCTACTGCGCGGACACATACGCAACTTTCAACAGTACCAACAAGCTTCAGATTGTTCTTCGTTCAAACTCCAAACGTGGCGCTAAATGCTTTATATTTAATGTTCTCCAAGAATCCACAAAATATTCTAATATTGTGTCTCCGCTGATGAATCAATGCATGAAGAAGATTTTTTTTCTCAAGCTCTCATCAACTGTTTCCTTAATTTTCGTTAGAATTATAGAATATATTTATAGGTTCATCTGGATATTTTTACGTGTTACAACTGAGTGCACAATTTAGCTATGGATCTTTCATTGATATATTATCTACATCTCTGGTTAATATTTCAAATTTTGAGCCCAGTCGCGCGCCGCAGCTGTGAATTTCTGAACTTGTTAATTTTTACATAGAGTGGTTCATAAATGGGAATATGTATTTACTCTCTAAATTTAAATTAGCGGAATTTCGTTGATTTGCAGAACTACCCAATCGGCGCAACTTTCCGATTATTTAAATTTAAAGTAATCAACATAATTTTTAGCCGATTTTAACATACTTTTTCGAATATGAAGTGTCATCCGTTTAAATAGGAAGGATATCTGATAAGTTTATACAAGTTGCGTTAATTATATATCTGTGGAAAAATATATTCTTCGTTAAAACAATAATCGTTATTTTCAGGCCAATACAGCTTAAAAACTGTGAGATATCTATCGCCTATTTAAACGAATTACACATCCATATTTCTATAATTCAGTTCTGAAACTACATAACTATTGCAAAACTATCCATCAACCATATTAATTATAAAGTGAACTTTATATTTCCCAAAAAAAGATTGTAAAATTTATTCCAAAAAATACATATAAATATTTTAATACGCTTTTTGTAAACACTTTTTGTTTGGGTTATTTTTAGTAGAAAATAATATAGATATATAGTTCCACCACAGACTGAGCAAAGGGGTTAAAAAAAGGTTAAAAAATTATATCCTAATTATCCTATAAAGATCGAGTGAAGAATATTATAAAAGTATAACTCTGGGAAGAATATCCGAGACTAAAAATGGTCTGTTAAAAAGGCAAAGATGATGCCCTCCAGGATCTGCAGACATAGCGTGTTCATAAGTATATAATGGAAACGTATCGTTGAGGGCCACCCGATCGGTTCTTTATATATATATATACTCGCAATCTTGCATTGATCGCGAGAACCAGTTTAGGATCGAACGCAAAAGAGAAAGAAAAGAAAGGAATAAGGGAGTAGGAAGGAAGAGCTGGAGACAGAGAGAGAGAGGAACGCACGACGATCGAAAGTATATAGCTGATTCTTTCGTGGAGATATTGTAACTTGAAATTAAGGCAATGAGGGACATGCTTGATGATGAAAAGAAAACAACCGCAAGTGACGAGAAAATGCGCTAACTTCCCACGTTGTGTCTGTACATTCGTCCGGATGTCCGTGGAACTTCTCAATTTCTGTGTAAACTGCCAAGGATAAAGATCTGATGCTCGAAATTATAAACAACACAATGAGTTAACGTCTTTGCTGAATATATGTAACAAACAAGAATATGGAAAACAATATAAAATACAATACAACAATGTAATATGATTTTTTGTTTACGTATAGAAACCTGGAATTAAATTATTCATTATAATATGCTGCTAATCAAAGAATTTGAAAGTAACATCGAAATTTCTAATCTATATACTTCCGCAAGGTTTGTCTTATAATTTTAACTATATACAAAGAAAGGTGCAATTGGTAACTGATTTTTGAAGTTAAAATTTGGTGCAGATCAAAAAAATTTTGGCATATACTTCAGAACCAAAAACTTAACTTTACTGCAAAAAAGACGTTTTTTAATCAAATTTGAGATAATGAGAGATAATTTTTTTTCAAAAAGGTCGTTACAGCATCTGAAGTATACTATTTTTTACCGTTTAAAATGCATTTTGAAACTTTAAAAAATCTTTGACTTTGAGTTATCGTTATTTAAATTTTCTGAGTTTAGTGAATGTTTCAATATTCGTGTATCAGATAATGCTTCAAAAAATTCAAATGACGATAACTCAGAGGAAAATAAAGATTTTTTAAAGTTTCAAAATGCATTTTCAAGGAGAAAGGAACAGTACTTTCAGATGCTGTAACGACTTTTTTGCAAAAAAATTACATCTTAATGTTACACGACCTCAAATATGGTCAAAAAACGTTTTTTCTTCACTTTTAGGTTAGAATATCTCGAAAATTTGACGTGCTGGGGTCAATTCTGAGGTCAGATTTGGATTTAGCACATCAAAATACTTCGGAAAAAACAAAGAACAGACTATGGTTCTTGGTTCTGAAGTAGGCCAAAATTTTGTCGACCTGTGTAATATTTTAAGTACAAAAATCAGTTTGCTGAACCAGTGAATTAATTTCTTTTTGTTTATAGGATAAGTATCAAGTTTGCTGTACTTATTCGCTGTCCCCATATTAACGAAAAATGTTTTGCTGTGACAGCAAAAGCAAAATTCTATCCGTATGTATATATTATGACTAAAAAGGTGTTATATAAAACGAAATTGCTTACCTTCAGGTCTCATTCTGTCAGCGATAAGGCAGTAAGGAGGTGGTGGCGACTCTGAAACAGAAAACATGGAATTGTTATGATTGTATTCCTAAAATGTATGGTTCTAATTTAACTTTGTGTAGGTGGGCAACATTTCTTTAATACTAGAATCTTAATGTTTATTTAAATTGAATGTCAATATTAAACTGTTTTAATTTTAAGTATTATCACTAATGTCATATAGCAATAGGATTATTACAATTAAAATAGCAATTCATAACAACGTTGTAGTGATGTAAATTCTCAAAAGAGGCAAATCATTTTCCCGTTATTTCATAATTTAATTATCCTCACCAAGCAGTTAACGACACAAATCAAACAGGTTAAAAACACTTGACTCGTTATTATGTGTATATTATCGTGTCACTGACCTTGAATAGCAAATGTGATAATTATCTATATATATATAATGCAGTAGCCAAAAATTATTACGTTAACAATAACAATTATTCCGTTAATAAATATAAAAAAAGTTGATATTCTCAAAATACACGTTTGATTAAAACTAACATTATAAATATTTCCTTTTACGTAATTAATAAATAAAATTTTCTTCGAAATTATTCATTTTGACGAATTGTAATAATCATAACACATATATATATATAATGAAAATAATGTAGGATAAGAGTAACATGTTTTAACGAGAGACAATGAAAATAGATTAGATAAGAAAGCTAGACACAACCTTATCTTCATAATTTCTTTTTATCTCTATTATTTTACATTATCTTTTTTTAATACCGTCTGGTCCCTTTTATATTATAATACAACAATTTTTATCCTTAGAAATTATATAATAACAATCATTTCAGTTATATAGAATTAATTCTTAACACGCGCAATATATTTTCATGTTTAGGTATGCAATAAAGACGTTTACGTTTATAAATGATCATGTAACGTTATAACGGGACAAGAAACTCACATTCAAAAACTTCTGGTTTATCCTGCATTAAACTTCTGTAAAAATGCGTATATAATATCCTTGACGAGAATACTATATACGAATTTAAATACTGCGCGATAACATATAATATATAAAATACCACTTTCAAATGTCAAGGATAGAAAATTCGAATATTATATGGGCAAATCCACGAAACTTTTAACTTTCAAGAAAAAAAAATTTCTTTTTTTAATTTGCAGACACATTGATGTCACTTTGTATATACATACGTTTAAGTACATTTTAGCACTACAAATTCATATGCGTGATTCATTTTAAGCTCAAGCCGTCAATGTTTAACTCTTTAAACTCTTTAATGTTAATAAATTACATATAAAATTGAAAAATTCAATTTTTTTTATTTTTGATATCGGAGTGGTTTCCAAAGTATTTTCGTCCTCTGAACACGATTCTGGCACCTAAATTTGCTTAGCACACGTCAGAATTTTTAGAAAAGAGGGGGTAAAGACTCCAAAAAAGTGTTTTCAGCATATTCTTAACTTAATAAAATTTATTTCACTCAAAATCCTTAAGCGGCGTTTTTGTGTTCAAATATATGTATGAAAATGTTTCGATCACACCATAGATTGACCTGTTTAAAGCAAAAATGCAGTTGTGCCTTTCAAAAATGTATAAATTTAAATGAAATCACGATTTTTATTATCATCTTTAAATTGTTGCCACAGGAATACAATTAGAGGCACATCATTGAAGAAGGTCTTAAAATTTTTGTTTTTTCATCACCTTTTAAGAAATACATTGAATTTTTATTTTTATCCAACGCCATAATAGATATTTTCATAAGAAGACATTCAATTGAATTTTTTTAAGAAGTGCTATCACTTAATCAAACCTTCGTATTTTTAGTTTTAGTGATGGCACACTAATGGTTTAGTTAAAATTTTTTGACAAAATATGTCTGTTAGATATTTCCATAGTAGCTGAAGTGATATTTTACACGCCGCAAAAATAAAAACGTTAGGAATATAAACTTTTTCAAGAAATTCAAATGAAATTTAAGCATTTTTTCACTTTTTAACTTATAAAACTAATTGTCAAATAAATATTTTGTTCTAATACTGTACATAAATGTTCGTTTGTATATAATTTAGCAAAAAAAAAATGATACCCAAAGTTTTAATTTAAAATAATTCAGATTTTTAAGTGTTCGATTCGAGAATCACAAAAGTTAAAAGTTTCGTGGATTTGCCCATATATACACTATGCTATAATGTTTCCGAATTCTCTTCCTTCAAAATTATTTTTAAATAAATATATCAATTATCTCTTAAAAGTTTGAAATAAAATTGTTATATTTTAAAAATAATTCTTATTTGAAAGAATATCCATAAAAATCAAATGAAATAGAATTTTAAAATTAGTATAGGATGTAAGTTTTATAATGGTTTTTGTTTTTCGTTATATTTCCGTCAACCTAAAATGAGCAAAAAATATTGGAATCTGAAATAGCATGTTTTCCAAATCTTAACTGGAAAGGCACGTTTCTCAACATTCATTTGAATTGTGCCGTCATTTCCAATTGACTATATTTAAGTATTCACTGATATTTCGTATTTATTTGCGAACTATGACAACTTAATCTAAAATTTTCGATTTTCCAAAACTGCTTTATAATAAAGTTCCCATTAATGGGAGAAACCTAACTTAAAATTTTTTAATTTAACTACAGTAAAACCCCTGTATATAGGACCCGCATAAATCGGATTTCTGCTTATATCGAATATTTTTTTGGTCCCTTGGATCATTATAACTAAGTTTTCGACCCGGATATATCGAATTTCCGCCTATATCTGATATTTTCCCTATTGAAAATCCATGTACAAAACCTTGAACAAGAAAATGTAGCAGCTGAATTTGTTCTAGTTCTGGTGCGGAAAATGTACATTTTCCGCACTAGAACTGCGATACAAGTTCAGCTGCTGAACCTGTATACATTTTCTTGTACAAGATCTTGTACAGTGATTTTCAATAGGGTTTTTAGGTCCCTTCGAATTCGATATACGTGGGTTTTACTGTATTGGAATTACGAATCTGATTTACTACATTTTTCATTAACAAAAAAAACCTATCCTAAAATTTTCAATTTAATTAAGAATTCCGAGACTGATTTAATAAATTTCCTATTAATGGAAGAACCTAAGCTAAAATATGATTAAAAATTTCAAAACTGCTATTTTCCATTAATGAGCAAACCTAACCTAAAATTTGATTAAGAATTTAATAAATTTCCCATTAATGGCGAGAGACAAAAAATCGAAGATGCCTAACTTATATCGCAGATAATGATGTCAAATCGACTACTGACATAGAAATGAACAGAGATAGAGAGTCATTAATGCATATATGATATACCGTAAATAGGTATATATGTTCTCTTCGACAAAAGAATAAGAGGCGAGATATTAACAAGTGCTACTGTAAAGAATTGTCTGAAGGCCAATAATACATATATAAATAAATACTGAGCAACTTTCGTCTGACTGCAACTTGCAAGAAAGTTGAGGACATTGCGGAGAGTGTAGGAGACTGCACGCTTTATACTTAATAGTTCGGCTCGATTCGGTGAGCATTCGGCTAATGCCGGTTTGGCCTCGACAATTAGCTGGCGCCAGCAGTGACACGTAGCGGCGCCGAGTCGCTGCCCGCACTGCCCCTTCCTCTCGTCATGGGCCTACGTCCCAACCCCCGCGTTGCGGCGGCGCCAGAACCACAACCCTCCCCCACCCCAAATGTTGAAGACCGGCCGACGACTCGGTCGCAGCTCTTCTTTTATTCTCTTCTCTTTTCCTCCTCTTCAAACTTTCTATTCGCTATTAGTATTTTGTGTGTGTCCTCTCTCTCTCTCACTCAGCTTCATTTTACCAACCGCGAGACGCGACTCGCCAAATATAAGTTATATTTTTAGATTCAATTTTCTTCTGTCCATAATCTTGATTGCAGCTCTCTGCAGTAGCAGTACTTTTCAATATAAAGTCGTCGTACTATTATGGTAGCACTGATTTAGACAGTAAATGTAATATATATATATATATACATTCATAAATATATATTAATCACATTCTGACAATTTCAACTATGTAGTACTGTCTTCACTGAATTGTGGAAAAAAAAGATTGAAATTTTTATTTTAACAAATATAGTTTACTGATTTTTATGACCGGATGAATTATGGCCTTGAAGGAAAGATTCATTTGCACCAATCTTCAAATCGTAGAAATTTCAACAAGAGGGGAATCTGATTGACCAATTTTAAATTTAGCACCATTGAATACTTATATATTTCTTCGATGTTTTATTTTCTAAAAGTTCTACAAATTTTGTATCTATTCTAAAATTCCACGAGTTTTCGATACGCATGAATAATGCCTTAAAGTTAGAATAATTTTCATTCGATAGAATTTCATTAGATATAATTCTCTTTTATAGCTGAATTTATATTTTTTTTTAATTTATAATTGTTCGAATTATTTTTTAACAAAATTTCCTGTAAACTTTCATTTGTTCGAATAAACATTCGGCAGAAACATTTTGGTGCAAATTTAAAATCATAAATCAGAAAAATTACCCAAAAATGAAATTTCAACTTTTGCAATAAAGAACTTATGAAATATCAAAGTTTTGGAAAATCAAAATTTGAAATTTATAAACTTTTGTAAATTTGAAGTTTTAACAATTTTAAACTTTAAGAAATTTGAATTTTTCACAATTCTAACTTTTTGCAAATGAAATTCTGTTAAATGGAAATTAGGATAAATGAAAATTCTGTTAAATTCAGATTTGGCTACCATACTGTAAAAAAAATTAGGGAGTTAACGGCACCTGGAGTTGGGAGTTAAATTTTTCGAGTTAAAAATCAAACCAAAAATGGAGTTAATAATTAAATTAACTCCTTTAAACTAACTCCCTAGGCCGAGCCCTAGGCTTAAAATTAACTCCCTTCGCTTCAACTCCAAAAGGCTTTTATAGCATCCTCTAGTGAGTTGAAATTCAACTTGTTTTTTTACAGTGCACAAAGAGAATGAAGTTTAAAAAGTTAAATTGA